ACTAGCCGAGACTCTTCTTTACGTGTACAGATGTGACGTAATGACTCAATATAGTCTACTAGCCGAGACTCTTCTTTATGTGTACAGATGTGGCGTAATGACTCAATATCGCCTACTAGCCGAGACTCTTCTTTACGTGTACAGATGTGACGTAATGACTCAATATAGCCTACTAGCCGAGACTCTTCTTTATGTGTACAGATGTGACGTAATGACTCAATATAGTCTACTAGCCGAGACTCTTCTTTATGTGTACAGATGTGACGTAATGACTCAATATCGCCTACTAGCCGAGACTCTTCTTTACGTGTACAGATGTGACATAATGACTCAATATAGTCTACTAGCCGAGACTCTTCTTTACGTGTACAGATGTGACGTAATGACTCAATATCGCCTACTAGCCGAGACTCTTCTTTACGTGTACAGATGTGACGTAATGACTCAATATCACCTACTAGCCGAGACTCTTCTTTATATGTACAGATGTGAAGTAATGACTCAATATATCCTACTAGCCGAGACTCTTCTTTACGTGTACAGATGTGACGTAATGACTCAATATAGTCTACTAGCCGAGACTCTTCTTTATGTGTACAGATGTGACATAATGACTCAATATAGCCTACTAGCCGAGACTCTTCTTTATGTGTACAGATGTGACGTAATGACTCAATATCGCCTACTAGCCGAGACTCTTCTTTATGTGTACAGATGTGACGTAATGACTCAATATAGTCTACTAGCCGAGACTCTTCTTTACGTGTACAGATGTGACGTAATGACTCAATATAGCCTACTAGCCGAGACTCTTCTTTATGTGTACAGATGTGACGTAATGACTCAATATAGTCTACTAGCCGAGACTCTTCTTTATGTGTACAGATGTGACGTAATGACTCAATATCGCCTACTAGCCGAGACTCTTCTTTACGTGTACAGATGTGACGTAATGACTCAATATAGCCTACTAGCCGAGACTCTTCTTTATGTGTACAGATGTGACGTAATGACTCAATATAGTCTACTAGCCGAGATTCTTCTTTATGTGTACAGATGTGGCGTAATGACTCAATATCGCCTACTAGCCGAGACTCTTCTTTACGTGTACAGATGTGACGTAATGACTCAATATAGCCTACTAGCCGAGACTCTTCTTTATGTGTACAGATGTGACGTAATGACTCAATATAGTCTACTAGCCGAGACTCTTCTTTATGTGTACAGATGTGACGTAAGGACTCAATATCGCCTACTAGCCGAGACTCTTCTTTACGTGTACAGATGTGACATAATGACTCAATATAGTCTACTAGCCGAGACTCTTCTTTACGTGTACAGATGTGACGTAATGACTCAATATCGCCTACTAGCCGAGACTCTTCTTTACGTGTACAGATGTGACGTAATGACTCAATATCACCTACTAGCCGAGACTCTTCTTTATATGTACAGATGTGACGTAATGACTCAATATATCCTACTAGCCGAGACTCTTCTTTACGTGTACAGATGTGACGTAATGACTCAATATCGCCTACTAGCCGAGACTCTTCTTTACGTGTACAGATGTGGCGTAATGACTCAATATCGCCTACTAGCCGAGACTCTTCTTTATGTGTACAGATGTGACGTAATGACTCAATATATCCTACTAGCCGAGACTCTTCTTTATGTGTACAGATGTGACGTAATGATTCAATGTAGTCTACTAGCCAAGACTCTTCTTTATGTGTACAGATGTGACGTAATGACTCAATATCGCCTACTATCCGAGACTCTTCTTTAAGTGTACAGATGTGACGTAATGACTCAATATCGCCTACTAGTCGAGACTCTTCTTTATGTGTACAGATGTGACATAATGACTCAATATAGCCTACTAGCCGAGACTCTTCTTTATGTGTACAGATGTGACGAAATGACGCAAAGACATGCTCGGTGGATCCCACGGAAATCCACCAGTACCACTGGAATTAAAAACATTATTACAAGCTTACCATTTTGAATCGAGCTTAGGCAAGCAGATAGTTTTGAACACTGGCTGCTTATGTACTTGTTCAGAAATCTATTTTGGATAATTTTTAACCCCAAAAAGTTATGGACTGGAGCTTTAAAGAAAATTAATCATGTGTGATATGCCATGCAGAAATTCTGGAAATGTCCTTTTACTGTTTTCACTGTAAATTGTACAGTAATTTTTTTAAACAAAAATAGTTTGCTAAAACTTTACATTTGACCATACTTTACAGTAAAATTACATATAATATGATGTTCAAAAAGCTTATTGGCCTTGCTAAATGGTAAGGTAAATTACAGTTAATCAATTATTAGTTTTTTGCATTTTACATTTTTAACATTTTCACGAATTTTATCTTTAAAAACACATAGCACACATAAATTTATTAGGTTTTAAAGATTAAAACAATAGATTACCTGTTCAAAATGTACAGATGTTGGGACTTTTCTCCGTTGACATGAGAGAGTGGGAAGTTCATGTTTTAGTGAACTCTGACCAGAAAATTCATATGGTAGGTTGACAACATAGATAATAATTATTCAACTTTGAAAGCTCCAGGATTTGTAGTTTTGTGAGAAAGGGGATTTGTTCGTATAGTTTAACATTGTAAATGATTAAATGTTATTTTTCTTTTTTTTAGTGTTTTTCTTTTTTGTTTATAATGTTTTTTATTTTATAATTGTACTATTTGTTTTATCATGTTGCCTGTTCATTACAGGGTGGTGTAATTGTTTCGAATTTTTATTTTTATTGTTATGGTGTTTCTGATTAATTTGCTGGTTGAGCTTGTTAGAAACACCGGCATACTATCCTCTGGGGACCAGAAAGTGTTAAAATGTTTAATTTCTTGTTCTTTACTGACCAAGTGTAATTTTGCATGCTTAAATTATGATGTGACTGCTAATCTTCTAGTTGTAAACATTAGTAGAACAAGTAGATAGTTGATGTGATGAACTACACCTGTATCTACTCTCCAAGGACCAAAAAACCTTGAGACATTGTTTATTTGCAGATACCGCATGGATTGATAATTTCGTTTGTTATCTACTGCAGTGAGATCACACAAAAAGGGCATGTCTGTAATATCAGACAGCATGGCCTCAGGTTTAGTGCAACTGACATCAAACGGCTCTCATAAAAAAATCAGCTGCATGTGCTCAAATGACGTAAAGACCCAGAGTCAGATGTAAATGCAATTTACAGTGTCAAAATGTAAAAGTGTACAGTATTTGTTTAAAAGCACACCTGTATTCCTCTGGTTAATCTTGAATCTTGATATATTTCGAAGCATGATTTTGGAGAAAGTTTATTTTGTAATAATTAACTAAACTTTTTTTCTCTTTATTCAAATAGCTTAATTATTGGGATAGTTCACCCAAAAAAATTGAAAAAAATTCTGAAAAAAACCCTCAAGGTGTTCCAAACGTGTATGAATTTCTTTATGTGCAGCATAAAAGAAGATATTTTGAAGAATGGTGGTAACCAAACAGTTGTGGTACACCATTGAATTCCATTGTATTTTTTTCCCCATACTAAGGAAGTCAATGGTGCCCCACAACCAATATTCTTCACAATATCTTATTTTATGCTCCACATAAAGAAATTCATACACGTTGGAAACAACTTGAGGGTGAGTAGCTTAAATTATTACAGAATTCAAAATTCTCATTTTTGGGTGAAAAAACCCCCCCAAAAACCTAAATGGATAAAATAAGCAGAAAGATATCTTCTAATGCATTCAGGTTATGCTTTAAAAAATGTGTCCTAATAGCTACAAAGAATACGGAATACATTTTTATTTATTATGGCTGTTACTATAACAACATGCAGCTGTACCTTTAAAGGCACCCGACATGCAAAGCAGCCTCACAAAAAGTCCATAGTTCTGTTATTTGTATGGATGATTTGTGTAACGTGTGTTTTGAATATGAGCCCTTGCGTGTATTAACACATGCTTAACAAAGAACCAATGGATGTCTGTGTGTGTATTTCTCAAACGGTTATGGTGAAGCTTAATGACCATAGGTAGGGAATTTGGGAGATCCCACTATGTGACTGTGATGCAATCTGAAACAGGTGTCCTACCGTAGTTTCACATTGATAATGTGGTATTAAGCTGAATCAAAATGGGTTGCTGTGACCACAAAGGGCAGAACCATATATAAATTTAAACCAGTTTGTGACAGTTTGTCTAGGTTTAAAAGAACAGTTAATTGCCAGTATGGTACATCTGTTGAAAACCAGATGGCTGAAGAATTCATGAGAAACTCAAATGCGTTCAGACGAAGAGGAACTAAGTTTTGTTGGTGAAGCAAAAACGGGCCAAACATTACACAATCTTTTTTTTTTTTACACAAAAACACATGATAAAATCCCCTAACCATTCCCCAGATTAACTTTTTTTAAACGAGAAAAATGTGAAGTTGCTGTGAAATTTTGTTACAAAAGCAACATTTCATTTCATAGCAGTTTCGTTTTTTTTGCGTCTTATCTTTTATTGATGTCCAGCAAACAAAAGCCTATGATAATGGAAATGGCATGCACATTCTTAACCAATAGAAATATTTTACATAAAAAGTCAAATAAGTTAATAAGTAGACAAACAGTATCAGATAAACGTAGTGTGCTATTTATCCACAGAAAAACTCTTACACCATCACAAATTCACCATCTGATTTCATACGATCAGTTTCTCTGTACTAATTTATCTGTCATAAAGTTACATTCCGGACATTACAATATGACAAGGGATGAAACCAGAAAGAACACTCACCATGGTTCGAGCCAAAAAAAGATCCTCTCTCAGATCTTCTCATGGACTTCTCAGTAGCTCTCGACCAGACTAATGAACGTGTTTCTGTTTGCTTCAGTTTATTTGTGACTGTAAATGCCTGCCCACTCCTGGCTACTTCCCCTATCTGCTGGCAGCCCGCTGCACTGTCATCACAGGAAGCTCTATCGCTCTCCTCATCAAATCTATTTGCCTATCCCATACTGCACAATTGCTCTTTCTATACTTGAATATGCTTCCCCGCTGTGCATGATGGAATTCATAAGAACACAGAAGCATGTCGCTATTTTTGTGTGCTTATTTTCTCTGACTTTGTTGAGAGTATTTTTTGTACATGTTAGTGTATTACCACAGCATCACATGAACATTACATTTTGAAATATATTAAAATATGAAAATATTTTTGATGATTTTCTTGATGATTAACCGATTGTTAATCAAATGCAGTCTTGGTGAGCATAAGAAAACTCTCACCAACCTCACACTTTTGAATAGTAACTCACAAAGACATTAAAAACACCTTTCTTCAGCTTAGATAAAATAGACTTTAATATCAAGAGCTATACTAGTAGCATGTGAAACTAGATGCCAGGAAGTGAAATTTTACAGGACATACTTTATGATGAATGTATGAATTTCATACAAGATCTGTTTATTATAACTTTTGCATCACCTGATATGGGGATGACGATTGTACAAATGGCTTTTAGTCCTCAGATCTGTGGTACAAATAGCTGTCCTCTGTATCTTCTCTGTAACCATGGTAAGTCCCAGTATTCTCATCTGGACAGTGAATTCCAAGTGTTTGCTGCAGTTTCTGTTCCTGTTGACGCAATTCCATCGAGTCCACAAGGTCGTAGATGCTTCCCAAAGACCACATTGGAGACGGGAACCAAGCCTTTACGTCTCCGTCCTTACCCACCACCAGCATGCTGAAGTAGTCCCTGTTTATCTTTAACTGATTTCTGAGACTTTCCACCACATCCCGTGAGAGCGTCTCTTTCTCAGGTTGACTTTTTCCTGTAGGGCAGGATCAATATTCCATCGTCATTTTCATAATATATTCATAAACATAAACTTTATGTATTACTTGCATGAAATGAGAAATAGTTTGATGATCTCACCATTCAATGGAAAAAACTCCACTGTTCCTGAAGCTGTCGATCCAGTACCCACAATCTTCAACAAGGCAAAATAACGGATACCTGTCCATGCGGATTAAGTTTTAATGGTTGCCAGATATATAGTAAATTAATCATTTTAAAAGAATTATTCACCCTAGAGATAGCCCAGAAAACATTATGCATACCCATTGGACACTCCTGTCCATTGAGTGCCTGAAGCTGCTGATGGAATGAGTAGTCATCTACTGTAGGTGCCGAGATGATTAGAAGTCTTCGTTTGGACATAAACCTAAAAATTCACATGTGTTAATCAGAATAATTAGAAAGATTAGCAGTCAGAAAAACTCATTGTGTTTACCTCAGAAGTGAGTTCTCCTGATTGTTTGTTTCGTCTTTAGAGCAGCGTGATGGAGCTTTTCGCTCGTCTTCCTTCTCAGATTGACGTGAAGGAAAGCTGTCAATGTAATCCAGTAAATCGGAAGGAGCTGTTGGCTTGCTGTAAATCCTGTTAAGCTAAAAACCACAAGTATGCCTTTGATTCAGCTGTCATTCAAAGTCACTGCGAATCAGGAGAAAATGAAGTGTTCTTACGTTCGGCCTCAGGTCATAGTCGGTCAACACCATTGAGAAGTTTTTGGGGTCCAGCCCATATTCTCTGCAGATCTCGCTGATTAACTCTGGGTTTCTGAACTTTTCTGGCAAGGATGCTTGTGGTGCCTCGGAGTCTGTTTCAAAAAGAACATTGAGCATTTTATATTTCTAAATAACATGTAAAGAAATATAAATGGATCTGGTCGATTCACAAACAAATAAATGACTCTTATGAGCTCGATTTTTTTTTTTAGTGAATCAAAAAAGTACAAAGAGACCTGTGTGGTTCGATTCAACCAACAAATTACTCTTTTGAGCCAGTTCTTTCAATTGAATCAAACACATGGCCTACAGTGCGACAAGTGCTGTTAAATTCATGAGCAAATTACTCTTTTTAATCGATTGTTTGCGAATGAAAAACACCTGTGTAGCCCCACATGATTCCTGAAACAAATGACTTGGTTCTTTTAGTGAATCAAAAACATACAGTACGACAAGTTCGTTTATTCTTCTGTACAAATCTGTGTAATCTGTATCTTCATAACCAATTTTACATGTGGTTTACTAATGTCAGTGTTTACACATTTGAATTACCTTGGTAGTGTTGGATGTGTAGCGTAAGAGTGTGATCTGAACCCATTATGGACAGCACTGAGACCTTTCTTTGGGAAAACTCACAGCTACGTAGCTCATTATCATCTCTCTGTTTGATATACTGACTTGAGACATCACTTGGGGATGAAATCACCTGTACCACAAAAACAAAACCTCATTATCATCAGATACAGAGAGCTGCAAATATGTATGAATTTCCAATCAAGAACTTACAAGAAGTCTTCTTCTCCCTTTGAGGTTTTGCATGAATTCTTTGAGAGCTGCCTTGTCCTTATCATCTGCTTCCCGTTGCGATTTCCTCCCTCCTTTTCCCTTTTTCTTGCCATCCTTTCCTTTGCCTTTCTTTTTAGAGGTCGAATGGTCAACGGTTTGCTCTCCATTGAAATCCTCATTGAGAGTGCCAAAATTAGATTTTGCAGCATGCGTTTCATCTGCTTCAGAAGGTTTTTTCACATCTGTTACTGGCTCTTTGTTTCTGTCACTATCAGGAGTTTTCTTTTGGTTGTTTTGCTTCAGCCTCTCATTTCCTTTAGATCCAGATTCTGAACCTGCCTTAGTTGATGGTTTGCCGTTGCCTGAGCTGCCCGTGGTTTTACGGATGACGAATCGCGAGCGTCCTCTCAAAATGTCTTGGACTTTGTTTCTCAATGTCTCCTTTTTGTCTAGACGTATCTTCTGTGTAAGGATGGAGGTGGTGTTCATTTGCCTCTGTTGGCTGAAGGTCCTACGCTTGCTGGAACCTGTTTTTTTCATCACTAACCTCTTCTTTGTGATCTTGCATTTAACTGGTGAGCCCTTTCTGGCGATCTTCTCCAACTTTCGCACAGGCAGCTGATCAATGACCTCAAGGATGGCCTCAACACGAACCGGGTAAGGAAACCTCTCACTAACCCTCATGTTCTTCTTCAGAATCAACATAGAGAATGTATGGTACTCCACCTCAAGGTAATGGAGAAGTTTGCTCACCATTTCAGAGTCCATGACCTCAACAGTGGCTTCTCCGTGCAAGGTTGTGCGTTGGATTTTGCCTTCCATCATGGCATTCTGAATAATAGTGACAACGAGCGTGTCTCTTTCTGCCAAGCGACAGTTTAGTCCCTCAGACTCCTGAATCTGTTTCTCCATCATACGCAGATAGTTGTCACCATGCGACGGCGCGGTGATCACCCACAGGCGGTGTTTCCCAGAAAAATCAGCCAAGAAGTCCGACTCTGACGGACTTTCGCGAGCCCCATCTGAACCAACGTCCTCCTTGGGAGTTGCAGAGTCACTTTGATTCTTCCCTTGGTGTTTTTTCTTGCCTGCTTTTGCAGAAAGCACCGGGCTGTTGATCCAGTGTGCCAACAAGAGCAGAAGGATCCACAGATGAGACATATCGAGACTTCCACTAACCAAAAGAGTGAGGAGGCAGAGAGAAAACCAGCTTCTGGTTCACATTAGAGCTCGACCTTGTTACAGGAAACTCCTGGAATTTCTAAACTTCAAAGCAGCGTAGAGCTGTGAGGCATGCGGAGGCAGAACTTTTTGTCTGCATGGAGGATGAGCTTTTGTAGGAGAAGAATGAAACCCAACCCCTTTACAACTTTAATGTTTAGTTGTCAATTTGCTTTCGACATTTTTTTTAGGGGGAATAATTATTATTGCAGATTGTATCTTGACAATTTTAATATGTTTTCTGAAAGCCAATATTAAACAAAAATAACAGACATTTTTTATTTATTCATAAAGGCAAACCAGTCTTTATTGTCTCTGGACACTCACAATCCATGCATCTGTAAAGCAATCATCAAAACTATGATGATTAGTAACAGAACTCCAATAATCTCACTGTGTTTCTCACAAACTCAAACTTCTGTTTGTATCAGACTAAAATGTCAAATGATATTTTTAGATTGCCTTTTTTTTACACAGGAAAGTACATCAATTTTTTGGTCTCAAAAACTTTCCATGACACGCTTTGAAATTTGTTTTTTATGAAAACACAGGGATAAGAGAAATGCATGGCCATGCAAGTGTAAAACTTATATTTTTAGATGGAAACTGTGGAAAGCAAAGTTATGTTATTAAATGTGATCCACACTCGAATAAAACATGTTTGCCTTAAACTTTGTTTTCATATAAATGCATATTTTAATATAAGAGATCTATAAATAAGGTGGGGAAGCCTTTTCATGCGTTTTAATTTGTTATATAGTGCATAGCTAAAACTTTTTTTCCTGGTGTGTGAAGAATAGTGAGAAGTGGCTGTAGCAATCTGGGAGGAGAGTTAATGGTTAACAGTCATTGTACACAGACATTCCACAAATGGATTTAGTTGAACAGAAACATATGAGAGAAAAGGGAAAAAAAAGCAGCAGCACATTTAATGCACGGAACAGAAGGAAAGGAAATGCAATTTTTTTTAAATTATATTCATAATTTTGTTTTTAAATTGAAATGTTTAACAAATGTCAGTGTTACTTGTTCAATTGTTTCAATATTCTGCTATTAGCCAAGTGTTTATTATTATTATTTTTTTTATTGCTTTTTTACCTTGAGTTCCACTCACTAATCAATTACTCTGGCCTGGTTTCACAGACAGGGCTTAGATTAACCCAGGATTATGCCTTAGTTAAAATAGGGCATTTAGATTTTATAAACCTGTCTTAGAAAAAGTGCATCTTGAGACAAAACAACAGCACTGACATATTTTAAGATATATCAGTGCAAGTTAATTGCTTTCAGTTAAAACAGCTCAAACAGTGTGGGACTAGTTTAAGCCTTGTCTTTGAAAGCAGGGGTGTACTTTTTTTTTCAATGGGCCAAGAAACAAAGAAATTGTCATAGGCTAAACTAAACAGTTCATCAGGACATTTTTATTTATTTTTTATTACATTTTAGGGGCTTTATATGGTCTGGATGTGCTTTGAACAGAAGAGTCGTAATTGCACTGTGCACATTCCAGCAAAAATCAAGAACCTAGTTTTTTGGGGCAACTTTCTCAAGATTTCTCAGATTCTTTGTAAAGTAAGTTGCATTCAGACAGTGTTGTTGATGTCTTGTCCTTGTCTACTACCCCCTGCTGGACATGTGGATCTCTATATGCGTAGGCTATCCATAAAAGACTTTGGTCAACAATGTGTTACTATTAACAATACAACTATTAATAGAAATGCGTACAACTTAAAAAATAAAATAAAAACTTTACAAATCTCAAATGTTTATCTAAATTTTGAATCTCCCATAATAAAAAATCAACACGTCACGATTTGATGTGACAAATCGAATCGAAAGACACTTTTTGTTAATATTCTTTACGAAATCTTTTTTTAAAGCCAAAAATATACATTTAACTAGTCTGTGTTCAATCTTGTTAACAAACGCCCACAGCACATGACTGATTAGCATGTTGATGGACGGTCGAATGAGTGAATGAAGCCACAGCACACACAAGCGGTGCAGGAGATAGAGGTGAGCGAGAGCGCGAGTACTTCCGGGTTGCTGGCGGCTACAAGCTTTCCGTCCCGCAATTCAGAGGTCGCTCATTGATGCTCTTTCTCCTCTCGGTGAGAATTTCAATTGTTCATTATTGATCCTCGCCACGTTTTCAATTGATCATAAGAAATGCATTAGGGCGTGCATTAATTTGATCTCCTTATGCAAATGACAGCATATAGTTATTGCTTTCTGCTTAGCTATCAAGCTAGTGTGTGTTACAAAAAGGAAAGAAGGGGAAATGAGCGCTTGTGCCCGCCTTCTGTCGATCCAAAAGCCACAAACTCTTGCTTTTGTATTACTGGTGCATAACGGGTTTTGGTGAATAGGGCTGTTGTGTTTGAGTCGTGATGTAAATGAAAATATAAAATTACTTAAAAAAAACTATAGACGGACACTCTGCGTGTCTTGTGTCACATTGAGCTGTTTGAATGAACGACTTCTGCACTGTCCAATCACAAAGTCTAGACACGAGGACGATCAAGTTTTTGTTTTGTTTTTTTGGCGCTACTCGTTTTCTCTTATGTTTCTCGTATATGTTGAGTATTGTAATTTTTAAACCGTTGTAGTTTATAAGTGAAAGGTAATGTGTACGGGTCACTAAGTGTTGTTGCCCCACATCTAGAGACTTATGTCACTTCTCTAGTCTGGTGATGACGTGGGGCTGGAATTGGATTGTAGTTTTCACGATAATCCAATATAGTCTGTCTGCACACGTTTTTCGTGTGATTTCCCACATCTTCATACACGCATAACCACTGCACTGATTTAATGTGTGGGATGTATGTATATTTAAAGAAGGAAAAAAAAAAATACTTTGACGTCTGTGTATAATGTAAGTTACCACGAATCATTGATTAATTTTGTTGTGAGACCTATTAGATCTGTATCATGAAGTCTTTGTCTAATTTAAAATTTACCTAGGATGAAAAGTGCTACTTTTAAATGCATATCTGATAACCCTTTAAAGTTGTGATGACCTGTTTGACCTGAGAGGTCACTATTTATCATTTAAAAACGTAGCCTACATGTCATCACTATGATGTTTAGAAAATTAATTATAGAGTTATAATATTCAAAATTACAACATTCATCAAAATTGTATTAAAAATTGTCCAAAAAATTACAACCAAAAAAAAAACAAAAAAACATTGAACTTGCACATTTCTCTTTAAAAGTTTACCATTATTTTTTTTATTTGATTTTATATATTTAGTATACTGCGGATCAGAATATATGCAGACGGTGTTTATGGTGTCATAGACCTACAATATAATAACTGTGAGCTGCTACTGTATGACCTGCACTGGCCTTGACGACAAACCCTTATCACCTGGAGAGACAGCCCTTACCTAAACAAACACACTTCACTACACATTTCAGTGTGTGCGTCTTTGTCCCCTTGACTGTTTTACCCTCTGGATTAAACTGGAGCTATAGTGGCAAAAACAAACTGTAAAATATATATAGGCTTTATATGTATATGTTGCCGGTGAAAAATTCAGGCTGAATTTATTTGATCAAAAATACATTAAAACAATAATATTGCAAAAAATATATATTTTTTTTGGACAGGTTTGGACAGTTTAAAAGAATAGCATTGATTTAAATTTTTTTTTTTTTGTACCATTTACATGTTTACAGTCACTTTTGACCAGATTAATGCATCCTTGCTTGAATAAGAGCGTTAATTTCTTTTCTTTTTTTAAAGGCTGACTCCAAACTTTTGAACAGTATTTAGTATATTTTTATTTCTTTTTGAGCCCTTTAATTCCTTTAAAGAAAATGTGTCCTGCTGTTTTTGCAAGATATTTTCTTTTTAAATATTTGAGGTCATAGTGCTCAGTTCACTTGTTAACCATGAGCGTGTGTGTGTGTGTCACCTTGGAGGTGGGTAAACAGCTGAGCTACAGTTAGGGGGGCAGAGTGGAGCATTGTGGGATAGGTCATCTGGCTGACTTTTTTTCCCTCTCTCTCCCTCACATGTAGGAGGAGGGTTGTTCCAACTGCGCAGCTCCTCCTTGTGTCTCCGATGGCGAGTCTTCTGCGTGTGGTAGCCACCAGCTGTTCCAGCCCTCTGTTCTCCGGGCTGGCCTGTGCTAAGCTTCAGAATGTGCGGTCGGTGAAGACACCATGTGTGCGGTTCTTTAGGACCCATCAAGCCCTCTCTCGCCTCGCTAGTCCAGGTATAGTTACTGGAATATTACAACTGTTAAAAAGCGTGTTCTGTTTCAGACGTTCAATTTTAGTAACCAGGTGACTGAGGTAAATGTTGGTTGAGGTAGTTTTCCCTCAGTATAAATTATTGAATAACTTTAAATATTGTTCACTTATGCTTATATAGAAACATAATTTGTTTTACCGCAGCAGATTTTGTTTTAAAGTATGACAAAATCAATTGAGACATTCCCAAACGTCTTACCCTAATATTTCTGTAGCAGTCCATGTATGTAATATTCAGTGTCCCTCAAGGTCACTATGTCCCTGCCCTGCTTGTTCTGCCACTAGTTGTGTTAAAGGTCCCAGGAAATGAATGAGTGTAATGTAGGTGACCTGTGTAGCGTGCTGGCTGCCAGGATACAGAGTGTGTTTGAGACCTGCCATTAATGGCAGACTATCTTTTTTTAAAAGGGGAAATGACAGCTGGGGCGGGTTATTTCTGGCACTCTTATCAGCTGAGGAACCAGAACTGTGGCACTGCTTGTGCAGGAGAATGCCTGCTGGGAAAAGAAACACGTGTCTATGGTGACTGCCCGCAGTCAGTGTAGTTATAAGAAGTTTGTGGCCCTCAGATATTCACTTTGTTTCCATTTACATCTGGAAATGCTAAAAAAAAGGATCTAAAACTACTCGCAAATTCTTTTCTTTTATTTATAGGACTGTCTCTATGATTGTTTTAAGTTCTTTTGAAAGTCTCTTATTCTAAACAATACTACATTTTATTTGATTAAAAATACAGTAATATTGTGAAATTACAAATTATTTTAAAATGTAATTTATTCATGTGATGGCTGATTTTTCAGCAGCCATTACTCCAGTCTTCAGTGTCACATGATCCTTCAGAAACCATTCTGATTTGCTGCTTAAACATTGCTTACTATCAATGTTGAAAAAACTGAATTTATTTAAAAATAGAAATATTTTTTGTTACCTTGTAATTATCTTTACTCTCACTTACTGACCAGTTTAATGCATCTTAAGTTTTTTTTTTTTTTCTTGCGGTCACCAAACTGGATGGTAGTGTAATTTTATGATCTGTGTTAAGTATATATAATGATCCATATTGGTCAGATTTGGCACTGGCATTATGCTCATGTCACAAAACAGTCACCTATTCTCAACAACAACAACAAAAAGTGAATTGCCCTTGAATAAGCAGAGCTGCTTTAAAGGTGCGGGTGCACTTTATTTTCTGCATTTCACTCTCTTACACACGCGCAAGACTTTCAAAGTGTCCTCCTTTGGATGTGTGTGCTCACTGCTCACTATCTAGTTGGCTTGTTTTCAAACACTCAAGTCACTAGCATATGCACTGTTGTGCGTGCACCATCTTCGCAGACACAACATGGGGTGTATGTGGACCCTCCTGATGATGAAAATTACTTAGGGCTTAAGTTATCCAAGGAGGTTTTGTTTACACCAATAATAAATCTCACTTGGTTTGTTATTTATCTATTGCAGTGACATTCATTGACTATACATATGGCTGAGGTGTCCAAATACCGTTTGAGTTGTCTTTGCTGTCTGTGGCCCAATTTAACCACCTCTAGACAGCTCAGGTCTGTGATTCACATGAGATTATGTTGTTGTTATCTATAGATCATGCCTGTGATGGAATTTTCCACAAGCGACCTTCTGCTACTAGTAGCAAGACAGGACTTGGATGACTTCTTGACGCATATTCAGCCTGTGTAGACCACATGTTGTTTGCACAACGTTTACGGACCAAAACTCATAAAATGAAGCTGTGCATAAAAAATCAACTTGATTTACTTTATTATGCTTGCCAAAACACAGCTATGCTCTGTTTTACAGCTTGAAATTCTCAGTTTTATTTGTGAAAATATGACTGCAGACATGGAGCTGTTGCAAAGTCACAAGGTTTCGCCTTACTGTAAAAATGCATGTAGCTGTAAAACCACAAGTCACAGAGACTGCATGGACCTCTAGTCCAACACAAAGGTCTCGAAGGTTTTTCTTTTTACCACTCTTGATAAACTCCTATACCAGTTGTAAGTCTGCTTCTGTACATGGTGCTTATCTTTATTGTACAGCTTTACTCTTTGACCTGTCTATGACTTAAAAACAGAGAGCCTGATGGGTTAGAAATTATCTTGAGAGATTATATTGGCTATGGGGGTAAGGTGGGATCAGTTGTTCACACTTTACTTTGTTTCTATGATGTTGGGTTCTCTAAAACTGTAAATTAAGGTTTTACTCATAAATTTCATGTAGCTGAAAAAAGAGAATATTTTAATATTCACAGGACCACAGTATTGGTAGATTTGAGACAATATTGGTAGATTTAAAGTTGTATTTTTAAAATAAGAAAACACATTTTCAAATGTTATATTTTAGTAGTTTAGTTTGGTGTATAATATATTTTTGTTAATATGTTAATACAATGTAAATATTTTTTATAGTATTTTAAGTTATATAAAATGTTTTTTATAATTATTTTATTATTAAATGTATTCTAAATAAAAAAAAATAGATTTTCATGTAAAACAATTTAAATTTTTATTTTTTATTTTAATATTTTTATTTAGAATATATAGAAGAGGATTAAGGCCTGGCTATAATAATAAAAAAAAAAACATCTCGAGATTAAAGTAATTATAATGCGAGATTAAACTTGTTAAATCTCGGGAAAAAGTCGAAATACAATCATGAGAACAAACTCATTACATTTAGAGAATAAAGTCATTGTATTTCGAAAAAAACCCCCAAAAAATGTAACAATTTTTTTTTCTCGAAACACAATGACTTTGTTCTCGATATTTAATGAGTTTATTCTCAAGATTGTATTTCAACTTTTTTCTCGAAATTTAACAAGTTTAATGCATTATAATGACTTTAATCTCCAGATGGTTTTATTTTTTTATTATTGCCTGGCCCTAATCCTCTTCCGTAAGAATACAACTAATAATAGTAAAAGCAATTTTATTTTATATAACTTTATATATTATAAACATTTACTTTGTATTATAATGTTATTGTTTTTTCTAGTACAAAGTAATATAATGATAATTATTACTGTACTTTTAATAATAAAAAAATGAGTATTTTTGCATAATTACATTAGAAATACAATGTAAAGCTCCTCCCTCCTGTTGGACATTTGCATTTGATATGCACATCTCATGTTCCTCTCCAGGCTCTGCTTGATTCTGTTATTTCCCGCAGGCATTCCATACAAACAGCTGACTGTCGGCATTCCCAAGGAAATCTTTCAGAATGAGCGTCGAGTGGCCATCTCTCCAGCCGGAGTGGAAGCTCTCATCAAGCAGGGCTTTAATGTGGTGGTGGAGTCCGGTGCTGGGGAATCTGCCAAGTTCTCCGATGACATGTATATGAAGGCAGGAGCCACCATCAAGGATGTCAAAGATGTCTTTTCATCTGATGTTTTGCTTAAGGTACTGTCAGATTTATTAACCTTACCTTCTCTTAACCAAGTCTTCATTAACATTCAATCTTTGTTTATTATTTCGCTTGTCTCCGCACCTCGAGCTTCCTCTGACTGCATTCGCACATCTCCAAAGGGAGGATGCATTTATACTTGACGCGCTTGCTGTTGTGCTATTCTTTGAAACGACAGGAGGCGATGGAGTAATTGTTCTCTAAACCACCTGGAAGCAGAGTAGTAAAATAACTCGGGAGCAGTGACAGGGCAGTCACCTGTTAGAAGGGGCTGTCAAAAGTCGTGCTGCAAACTCCAAAGCAACTGAACTGTGTTGTCTTGTTTTGTGTGCCTATTTTTTGTGCTTTTCATATGTTTTTATTCACGCAAAAGTAAGCTTAACAACAATTTCAATAAAACAAAACTACTCTTGTTGTATTAAAATCTACCAAAATGCTCATTGAACAATCTCTGATCGTATTATTGTCCTATTTGAACTATTTATCTCTGTTGGGGACACTAACGTTTCTTTAAATATAAACTCTTATTGGGTTGATGGGTCAATTTTGAGGGCACACGTGATGTTTGTTTATAGTGCACTTCATTTACATTAGAACAAAATATGGATATGAGAATATTTGTATAAAAGTAAATTAAACAACATTCTCTTAAATATTTTCTAATTTCACTAAACGTTTTCATTACATGGACTGTTTGAGTAAAAGTGGACCTATCTTTATTAGAAAGGCTTATTTCTGCTATTGATGGCTCATTTAGTAAATGTAAGCAATTAATTTGGACAACAGTAAACTGGGTGCTGGTACAGAGTGCAGACTATCTGGCCTCAAAGTTGTGCATATTCGGAAGACCATGCGCTCGCAAACCTACAAAAAAAAATAAAGGCACAAAAAATGGGGTCTTGTGTACTCAATGCACACCACTAGACTGGTGTCATTTTTGCCATGTGCACTTTCGCGCTCATGCAGACGTGGTGAGTATAAACAAGGCTTCATTCTCTCCACCTTTTCGTCACAGGTGCGTGCCCCGATTTTAAACCCTGCTCTAGGAGTTCATGAGGCCAGCCTCATGAGTGAAGGATCCACCCTCGTCAGTTTCATCTATCCCGCTCAGAACCCTGAGCTGATGGACTTGTTGTCCAAGCGCAAAACCACCATCCTGGCCATGGACCAGGTGCCCCGAGTTACTATTGCTCAGGGTTATGATGCCCTCAGCTCCATGGCCAACATTGCTGGGTAAGGCCATCTAAAACGAAAAATGCAGAAAACTAGACAGCATTTTGTACTTGCATGATTGTTTTAATTTCAGTAATTGATATTTTTCGTTTTATGCCGTTTTTGTATTTATTGTGTTGTATAATCATACTGTTGGCGCCAATAGCCTCAGGGGCTGTGTGCGCGAAAAATAGTGCAACTGCACCTCCGGTGACCTGTTGTCGATTCCTTGCTTGAGGTCCTTTTGACAGTTTTGTTTTCCTCTCTCCACCCTTTGTTTTCCTGTTTACTAAATGTGCATACAAATGGCAAAAATATTACAATAAAAGACAAGCACTGAGCCTTAAATCTCCACTTCAGTAGCATTTACAAACATCATACTATGTAGTTTTATTCCTATATATTTTCTATTATATTTAATCTTATTCCTAAAAATAAAATCCTAATATATCAAAAAACAAGGCTTTATACAATGTCAAGATTTCTGCTCTGAAAATGTATGCAAATCAGTGCATTTAATTAGTATTAGCATTTCTATAGAGTTATATAACATGGCAGGAAACTCGGGTAATGCAAAATTTGTCTAAATTAACGGATGATGTATGGCGAGGTTTACCCTGTTCACCTGCAGTGTCTTGCCTTTTTTAAAATGTCTTGATTTCTGCTTCATCAGTGGCCATGACTTTTGTGTGTTTTTTTTTTTTTTCCGCAGTTATAAAGCAGTGGTCTTGGCAGCCAACAACTTTGGGCGTTTCTTCACTGGTCAGATCACAGCCGCGGGGAAGGTTCCACCTGCTAAGGTATGTGCTGGCATAACCGCACACACGTCCTGAGTGTACGGTAGCCAAGAGAGCTCAACACGCTGCAACTGATGAAAATGCATATAAAAAAAAAACGCAAATAGAAAAAACACTAATACACAACACCACCCAAATACAGAAACATGCTGCAAAAGTTCACAACACAAATACAGAAACACGCTGAAAATAACACAGACCACATCGGAAGTGTTTCCAAACGAACCAAATATTTGACGAACCCGGCTGGGACGTGCTGGTACTTGCAGCTTAAAATTATATTTTATGTATTTATTTATTTTTGCAAAACATACTGAGATTAAATTTTTATTACATACACCTTGTATACAATATACAACATGTAAAACTAAAATAAATAAAAAAGATGAAGAACATGAAGGCAAGATTTATCGTTCTTCAGTTACACTGTACAAATTGTTTCAAGTTAAGTTAAAATTTTCCTTAGGAATAGTTTCATAAGAAATGGTAGGTAATGTAGGGTACAAAGTTTTAAAGTTTTTTTGTTTTTTTTCTGTTAGTATGTGTTTGCTTCAGTTGCATCGCGTTGAGCTCCCTCATCCACCGTATCAGTGCTTATTTTGAGTTTGCTTGATTCATTGCTGTACATTTCTACAGTTCTTGTACTTGTACCAGTTCTTGGATGAAGATATGTGCACTGGTCATACTTTCCCAAATTAGATTTTTCTGTTAATTTCAGAATTTGAATTTTACAATAAGGCTGTTCTGATTGGCAGGTGTTGATCATTGGTGGTGGAGTGGCTGGCTTGGCTGCTGCTGGCTCTGCCCGTGCTATGGGTGCCATTGTCAGGGGATTTGACACCAGGTAAAAAGTCCTAAAATTAAATTTTGATAATGTATAATTTTATTTGGCAAGTATCCATGAAATTAACAGTTTCAAAAGATTTCTAGTTCAAATTCAGTTTTTTTTTTTTTACTATATATTTATCAAAGAATCGTGAAAAAATAAAAAATAAAACTTTCCAAAATATCAGCAAAATCAACATAGTAGAATGATTTCTGAAGGAGCGTGTGACACTGAAGACTGTAGAGTAATGATGCTGAAAATGTAGCTTTACCATCAGATAAATTATTTGTTTTAAAAATGGAAATCTTTAAGTTAATTATATTTGACAATATTACAGTATTTTTGATCAAATGTTTTATTTTTGTCTTGCATGAAATCAAGTATGCAGTCAATCAAACACTAGGTGGTGCTATAATAATACGTTTTACTAACATCTCCACTACACATTAATGTGGTGACCTTTTATTTGCCTTTTTTTGTCTACTTTGAAGCTTCTAAATTGTAGCTCTATTTCCCAGTCTTGTCAGCATTTATACATTTGAGTTTTGAGTCATCGTTCTGCTCTACTTTGGATTATATGTTTCTTTAATCTGTTTTGCAAAATCAGTGATGTCACTGCTAATCCTGCTAAAATGGTTTTAAATGTACATATGTTAAAAAGTTTTTTAAAATGTTACCAATGAGTGTGTGAATTTACAGCTTTAGTACCAAGTGGATGTAGAAGAATTTATATCCTTTCTGTAAACTAGGGATGTCCTAATCCAGTTTTTTGAGTCCCAAACCCGGATACCCGGACATGCCTAATAAAAAAACTTTAGCTGGCATATTATTATGATTAAAGGGTTAGTTCACTCAAAAATGAAATTTGTCATCATTTAGTCACCCTCATGTTGTTCCAAACCCGTAAGACTTTCGTTCATCTTTGGAACACTAATTAGGATCTTTTTGATGAAGCACATTTGAGCTCCCGCAAGTACCAATGAGGTTTGTTCTCGCACATCAGAGCTTCTGTTTGTTCATTGATTAATGTTGAAATGTGAATAAAAGCCTAAATTCAATCTGTTCACAACATAAACTGACCGTGTCTCTTCAGAAAATTTGGACTATTCATAAGGATTAGTTTTACAATCTCTTTATGAACTTTTTGATGTCTCAAAGTGCTAGTTGCGTAACTGTCAATGGAGGCATATAAAGCTCTCAGATTTAATCAAAAAGATCTTTTATTTGTGTTCCGAAGGAGTACGAAAATCTTAAGGGTTTGAAAGTGAATAATTAATGACACAATTTTAATTCAGACATTTTTGGGTGAACTAACCCTTAAAAGACTACTTGGGGCACATGAATTAAAAAAAAGATGTGCATGAATAAGTCATTTAAGACTGCAGTATTCCATTAAAAATATTTCTATATCATGGTGACTTGGAACTTGGAATCAGTCAAGTTCAGTTTCAGCAAGTGTCCTCCTGGTGGCAGTGTTGTTTTAGTCATGGAGTCTTGCCCTTGTCTTTCAGAGCGGCTGCACTGGAGCAATTTAAGTCCCTGGGTGCCGAACCTTTAGAGGTGGTGGATGTGAAGGAGTCAGGAGAAGGCCAGGGCGGTTACGCTAAAGAGATGTCCAAGGAGTTCATCGAGGCAGAGATGAAGCTGTTTGCCAAGCAGTGTTTGGATGTTGACATCATCATCACTACCGCGCTTATCCCCGGTATGCACACCTGCAACATTTACTCCCTTTCCATCTCCCCTTTTTCCATCACATGCCCTCTATGGCATGCACTCTTGCACATAATGAGTGATCTTGTTTGCTCATGTTCTTATTTCTCCATCATTTGACTTTAAAAGTAATAGTTCATCCAGAAATTGATTTTCTCTTTATTTACTCAACCTTATGTCACTACAAACACTGTTGCTGTTATTCTTTTCTGTGAAATCCATAAATCTTCATACAGATTTTTCCATGCATAATAGATTATTTGTGTCATAGTGCTCACAGGCTGTCTACTTTGGCTCCGAAGGCCCAAAAAGCACCATAAAATAGTCTATATGATTATATTTGATTTGTTAGAAGTCTTCTGAAGCTGTATGAAAGGTTTTAATTACATTTTAAGCCATTATTTACACATTTCCTTCATTGTACTGTGGCTCATAAATTAAACAAGCCAATCTTGGCCAAATCATCGACCCAATCTTGATGTAATGGGTCGATGTCCAACCTGCATCATAGTAAAAGGAGTAAAAGGATATCATTGCATAATGACTTCCTTTTAGTCTATTATGTTTAAGAAATTTGGAATACAGGGTGCACATCTTTTGGACTGCTATTACTACCACTACTTTTATGGTGTGTATTTAAAGTGCTTTCTTGTCCATTTTAGAGCTTTCCGTCCCTGGTCACGATGACTTTATGGGGGAAACGTGTCTTAAATTTCTTCTTTTTTTTTACGGTTCATGGAAAAAATAATGACATACTTATTTGAACGACATGAGGTTGAGTAAATAATGTCAATTTTAAGTTTCTGTATGAACTGTTCCTTTAACTTTTTAACTCCTCATCGTTAAGTTAATACTCATATGACTATCATTGGCATTTGAAAAGAGAAACGGATTAACCAGCAAAGCTAATTATGTACAGTACAGAACAATTACCAATTTAACAGCTCTGTGGCTTCAGATGTGCTTTGTGTTCATTTGAAGCAAGTGTTGTCCTAATCTCCATGACTGAAAGCTAATAAAAAACAGGCCATGCCCATAACAGAAAATGTTTACAAAGTGTCATAAGAGTTGCTTTGGGTCGCTCTTGCTTTAGGTTGGCAGAGAGTGGTCTTTCCACTCGGTGTTTCTTTTTCAGTACCGCTGGCACTCGAAGTCAGTTCCTGTGACTTCTGCATGCTCATGCACACTCCTGGTGTCACTCCAATGTTATTTTATTTCCATCCCTGAAGCTATGGAGCCACCGGTTGGACTTTTAGAACTTAATTCCTAAACAAACTGCATACCTGGCTGGCTGTTTTTAGCACGCTCCGATTGGTTAAACGCATGCAATCTGTTCCACTTTTATCTGAATAGCGTTTTTCTTTTAAAACCAACAAGCCGCATAGCAGCTTATCAGTATATTAGGTTGCACGGATAAAAGGCACATCAGAGGAGTCTTATTAAATGCATATCAGTCATGGTTTTGGTTTACTAGTCTCACTGTGCTGAAACTATTATGCAGGTCGGAAGGCCCCTGTGCTGATTACTAAGGAAATGGTGGAGACCATGAAAGATGGTTCAGTGGTGGTGGATCTGGCCGCAGAGGCTGGGGGAAACATCGAGACCACGGTACCTGGAGAACTGTCTGTTCACAAAGTGAGTACTCTACAACTGCAGCTTACATGAGCTTCAATGGTTTGATCGGGAAGGTTCAGGTAAACTACCATTTGGAGTCAGTAAAGCCGCCTTTCCACTGCACACGACAAACGGCAGCCGTTGGACTGGAAGTCGATCATTTCCTATCATATGCGTATGCGGAAATTTCGGATCCGATTTGAGCTTTGGATCCATTGAAATATCTGAACTTCTGCAGCTGGACCGTATGCGACTGGCCGACCTAATGTGATGTTTTCTAATCAAAACTATGAGCGCGAGGCTAGAATTACCAATATTTTAAAGGCAACCTATTAGGGCAGTTAAAAAGTACCTAATATTGTTTTGGGAGTCCCCAACAACAGTTTTACATGCAAACACTTTTGTCTTATATGCATTAATTTATTTTTACCTCCCAAATGATTCGTTCAACGACTCATTTTTCCAAACCCCTCCTTTGCGTGACGCTGATCTGTGGTGATTGGTCAGATGACCCAATCAGTTATTGTTTACAATAGCCCAATGCATAAACATATTGATAAAGCACTGCAGTACTACAAGATATTGATCTATTCTTTGCTCTTATAACTGCAGTAACAACAACATACATTTCACATATTTAAAAAAAAATGACATTGGAGACCTAGAAGCTACGTTGAGCGTATCTTGCACAACACGCACAAATATTTATTGAGAATCCTACAAAACACATAAAAGCAACAATAATTAATAATACTTACAGGTTGGGATTCGTTCGGAGTAAGCTGATTCAAATAAAATTGGTACTCAACCTTCGTTAAGTATTAAACGGCTCGTGAATCCACACTTTTATGTGAAAGCATTTATGGTTGTAAAGCAATCGTCATTAAAATGACGCGAACACAGCACGAGGTGTATACTTGTATAGTATACTTGTAAATATAAACTCTAGCCACTGATTCTTCAGAACACAGCGTCTTGTTGTCGTCATATTTTCAAGTGTACCCTTCTGTCTGCGAACGCAATGAGTGGGCACGGCCTATTTGATGTCACAAGTACGAAAAGGAAAATGACTCATTGGGAAAAACGATTCATTAAATTGACTCAGAGTCTACTCATACTTTTGAGACAATGGCTGTGTCTCAATTCGCCTACTTATACTACGCCCTAAAAGTATGTACTCTTTTTGTGAAGAAAAAGTACATACTTTTGAGTGTGTAGCAAAGGGGTAGGCAAGCTTTGGGACACTACTTCGTCATCTTTAACGGTCAGCTCTGTGGCGTGCTTCCTATCACTACCCTGTCAATCATCACGTCACAGTTAAAATCCTCCATTCGATCTAATATAATTTCTTACCATTTCGGAGAGAAATGTTGTAGCACGTTCATCTGCCAGTCGTGGGTCTTTCATGTGGAGACTCTGCTCATGTGTTTGCAATTTGAATGTAATGATGCATTTAAAAGTTAATGGCTATAAACGTATCTTTACAATAGTTCACAATGCTGCTGCAGATGCAATATAATAATGTAGACAACATTGAATAAATAAATAACCGTCAGGTTAGATACTTATCACTTAAAATGGTTCTACACCACCGCCGGACTTGTGCGTCCTCCATGTCTGTAGTTTTTTTTAACACTTTTCACTCGTGTTTGTAGTTCTAACCGAATCCTCGTCCAACGTGCCATGGGTTATGGGTAATATCACCCGTTAGAGTCTTTCTTTTACTGTCTATGGTTAGAGTGGGCATCGATCTGCACTTTGAATTCTGTCCGGATATAGTAGATCATCCGGGTCTCTTTGGAAAACTCATTTCAACATGCTACGCTTTGGAACGTACTAATTCTATTTTCGAATACTATTTAGGACGGATAGTATGCGAATTGGGACTGATTAAACTGATTTTTCTTAAACCATTTAAAAGTTGGAGGTCGAGAAGATTAACTTCTTTCATGAAATATGCTTGTGTACTTTCCTATAGGGTGTGATCCACGTTGGCTATACTGATATTCCCAGTCGACTCCCGACTCAGGCCAGCACGTTGTACTCTAACAACATCATCAAACTCCTCCGTGCCATCAGCCCAGACAAGGAAGTTTTTTACTTTGATGTCAAAAACGACTTCGATTATGGCACAATGGACCACGTCATCCGAGGTTCAATAGTTATGAAGGTAAACCTTTTTTCTTCTACAAAGTTTTTAGCTACAGGAGGAAAGATAAACCCTTTATTTGTGGTTGAACGTTTCTTTCAATTAAAAGCAACATTTTTGGGTGGACTATTCCTTTATCATTAGTTAACATATTACAATGAAAAAATACTTTCAAAGCATTTACAATTTTAGATGTTAATTTAATTTTACTAATACATGATTAAAATCAAAAGTTCTATCTGTGAATATTATTTAATGTACAAATGTGAACTAACAATGGACAGTTGTATTAACCTTAATATTTCACAATGAGCAGGACATTTAAAAAAATAAATAATAATAATTAATTAAATGATTCTTTGTTCATGTAAGTTAATGCATTTACTTACTAATGGAACCCTATTGTAAATTGTTAAAACAATAATAATATCATTAATTTTGTATTTTGGTAAGGTAATGTAATGGGTTATTTTGTTATCCCATAATATTGGTGAAAAAAGCGTTTATTAAATAAGCAGTTGATTCTCTGCATTCACTCTCCGTGACTGATTTAACAAACACAACATTTGGTCAGAACAAGACGATGTTTTATTTAATCTAATCTGACCACTGAACTCAAATGATTTCAAGGATGTGAGCAGAGACTCAATATCACTCTGGCGCTCATTTAACTTTCAAGGAGTTGAGTGATAGTGTTATTTTAATACTGGCTTTCACTCTGTCTGTCTGCAGGATGGAGAAGTGCTTTTCCCTGCACCACAACCTAACAACATCCCAGTGGCAGTGCCTACAAAACCAAAGGGTGTCCAGGAGCTGGAGAAGGAGAAGGCATCTGCGATTACACCCTTCAGAGCCACCCTCAACACAGCTGGGCTTTACACCGGAGGTATATCACAGTCCGGCTTCCCTCTCTGCCCTCCCTTTTCCCACCGGATCTCTGCGGGTCCCCCGGGGTTAATATGAAAGCGGCTCCCTATGCATTTTAAGAGGAAGAGACCTCTGCATTGGTGGTCTCTGACACTGAACTTTGTTAATAAGGCTGTCATGTACATTTCAAACGCCCCCACTTTATAGCCTTTGAGATTAATCCAATTTTTATTTTCTTTTTTTATCTACTTAAGCAATCTGCATTGCTCAGAAATTCCAAAAGTAGCTGCTCGCCTGTTTGCCCGCTTTTGTACCAAGATGTGATTAGACTCCAAAGCCCTGCTAAACCAAGCGGCGCACAAATGAATTCTATTGGTTGCAGACCCCCGAGGAACACTCGTGTGAGGAGAGGCAATGTTGGCTTCACATCAAAGCGCTTCCTTCCTCACTCAGACAAGCCACAAAAACTTGCACGTAAATAAACACCGACTGATAAACAAACATGCAAATGAGATCTTCCTGCCCTTTCATGGTTTGCTGTATCTGTATTAGTCTAGGTACAGGGAATCCTGTCTTGCTCGGAAGGCCAAGATCACTTCCTTTTGAAATAGTGATTGGTCATCTAATTGCGGCACAAGCTGTTTTATTTTCCACATCACCTTAGCACCTTCTAGGATGCCTCTGAATGCCAGGAAATTAGGATGATAAAATGGTGGTGTTTTTTTTTTTTTTTTCTCAGACATATACAGCCATCCTGCTGTTTATGTCTGTTGTAGGCAAAAGGTTTCTTACCCGCATGGCCAATGGCTGGTCTGAGTTGGCTATACCTTAATGACAGTCAATACCTGTGTAAAAATAATATAACTAATAGTATTATATAGAAATATTATTTTTTTCTTATATAATTACACAAAAGCTTATACCACTGTTATTTTATTAATGTATTTATCTATTTCTTTATGAAATTATGAATGCTTAAAGCAAATTACAAACTCATTACTAAAGTTGAAAATAAATTGTGTGTTAAGTTTCAAAATTAAGTCCAACAGCAAGTCTTTAAAATATTAGAGTCACGTGTACATGACCCACAGCAATATTGCTGTTTTGAGGATTATGGGATATAAGCAGGACACATTGCTGGCAACATTCAAAATGACAAACTTACATCCTTACTGAAATGTTTTACGTTTTTTTTTTTTTTTCTTAGGTCTGGCATCGACGATCGGTCTTGGGCTGGTAGCTCCCAATGCTGCTTTCACTCAGATAGTTACAACCTTTGGCCTGGCAGGAATCGTGGGATACCACACTGTATGGGGCGTCAGTCCTGCTCTTCACTCCCCACTTATGTCTGTCACAAATGCCATTTCTGGTAAGTTAGAAAATAATGTATACATCTTTTAATTTTAAGCTTGTTAATTGCTAATTGAAATGTTTTCCCCATTGACATGCTTCTTTGTGTATTTGAAAAAAAAAAACAATTAACACCTGAAATGATCTATAAATAAATAAATAAATATATATTTATATGAATTATTTATTTTTTTTTTTTTAATTTGTAAGACTAGTTTTGTTTAAGAAAGATTTATTTAAGAGGCGTTAACCACCCATTAATATTGAGTGTTTCACACCTGAGAATGGACCTATTAGGGGCTCTCAGGTCAAAAGACAGAGACTTGGTCAGTCACACACCTCTGTGCCATTCCTAAAACATAGTAGGCAACATACCTGTCATCTCCAAGGTGTTTGATTTTTCACCTTACCATGTTCATGTACAGAGACTCATATTGAATGTTTAAGTCAGCAGGACTCATCAGTGGCATCTGGTCCCTTTAAAAAAAACACCTGGGAACATGCTGATATCAAGAGAAACTATAACATCATATGTTACTCGAAAGCACAGAGGATAGAGCAAAACGAAAAACGCGTTAAAGTCTAAAAGGAGAATTTTAAAGAGAAATGTTGGAGGATTTTAACATAAGTGAAGAGGAGCTTGAGTTTGTTGCCCAGCCCTATTTGTTCGAAGCTTACGCAATGCCTCTATCCAATGTCGTACATCATGTGGCCTGTGAAAATGAAAACTTTGGAAAACCACTAGCCTCAGTGGCTGGTGAGACAAAAAGTCAATGTCAAGCCCTGTAAATGTATAGCTGTTTGTGAAAAGTTAAAATTTGAAATTTCTCTCATGCACAGGTCATCAAAGTGTACCATTTTCCTCATCCGAGTTTGCCCTTTAGCTACAGAGGGCTCTCAAGTGGGTGTGAATTACCTACTTGCTTTAATGGGCAGAATGTCACCTAATTTATTTTTTTCTCTACCCTTGAGTTAGTGTCTGTCATGGACCGGCATAGCCCACCCGAATTCGGCTCTTTGTGAGTCTAGACTTAATCATCAGCCAGGCAGATCAAGGATACTTCTGTGCTTCGTTAAGCTTTTATTCATTTCTCTCAGCAGCAGGCTGAGAAACCAGGAAACGTTTCATTGTTTTTAACAAGTCCTTGGTGGTCTGCATGAAAGACTCATTTGTATCAAGAAAGCTATAAACTTCACATCGAGATTGTGGGGAATCATCTGAAGCAATTAGTTTCCCTCGACCTGCTCCACACTTCCTGTGAATTAGCTTATTAGTCTTGTAGAAACAGTCTCTTGCTTTTCTTTGTCTTATTTACATATTAGGTGGGACATATTTGACACTTATTGGACAGTCTTTCACAAGTCTGGAAACGTGAGCGAGTTGGAATTTGCTTATTTCAGTGCCAAAGTAATGAAGGTTTGACAAAAGTGACCGAGACGTTAAGCCACTAATGTGGAATTTCTCATTCTCATTGAAAGTGTGGGAGAACTTTTCCAGAAGCATAAAGTTACTCTTTTGCTCCCGGTGGAGTAAAGTTCCTCTCTCGTTCTTTAATCTACCTGAAACTGGTGAATCAGAATGACTCCACGTCTCTTGATATGACTGTTTGAACATCGCCTGATCCAAGGAATCTTTATGGACAAATGTCTACTAGATATTGGTTTTGGGTCCATTTGGCTGATGTGACTTAATGGATGTGTCATTTGCCTAATACAACCCTTCTTTCCAAATACCTCATCGCTTTATCCTCCGTGATCACAGAAAGTCGGAAATATTATCCAGCCATCAGAACAAGAGCAAGAGTTTTTTTTACAGATATTCAGACCTCTGAATGTCTGGGTGCGTGTGTGGCGGTTCGTGCCTGTGTAGGTTTACAAATTGTCTGTTGGGTTTCCTGCAATGTTGTGGTAGCGTGCTCTTGTCCTGCAAGCTGGTCTGTGATCAATTGTTACTTTAGAATTACTAAGTGAGAGGAAATGCTTACCAACAGTTACACACTTCATTGACTTAAGATAGCGCTAACCAACAGGGCCACCTCAGGTTTAGTCAGTCGATTTAATGCTGTGGAAGCATTTGAAAACGATTAAAGAGGTGATGGTTATCTGATTTCCCTCTGGGATGCCAGTGTTGTCCTCGTTAATTCCCGGTCAAAGTGAGTTTCAAACGGCTTGTTTTGAGTGCTGTGCTAGTGTCAAGTGTATGATGTAAGACTTCAGTGGACGGGGCGAATGGCTGGGACAGTTGTCTTGTTTTTCTCACTTGAAATGATCACAATTTAGACGCAAATCTGGAAACCAAGGCAAATTCCATTTAAATCTGGCAAATTGTCCATAATTAGTCGGCATATATGCCTTCAAAGATCTCTCAATTGCCTCATAGCCATTTAATATTTGTGATGTATTCTGATATTTTATTTATTTGAAACTGGACATGATAGTCACAAATTTTGTCATGCTTATTTGAGTTAAGTGAACTGATGGGGATGTTCTTTTAATTGTATTGCAATGTATGTATCGTGACCAACTCAACGAGTGTTGCCAACAGGAACGGTGTAGAGTGCCCTCTGGTGGACAAACTATACAACTCCAACACTCATGAGATGGTTCAAGCGTGTTTCGCAGTGTTGTCGTACTCGGACTCGGTCTCGAGACCATATTTTAATGGTCTTGGTCTTGTCATGGACTCGTGTCCATTTGGACTCGGAATTGACTCGTACTCGAACATTTTTTTTTTTAGGATTTGGAATTATTCCCGAGTCCACTCGAGTTCAATTAAAAATATTTTTCATGATTATTAATGTATGTTAATAAAATATTTCTTTAAATTGATTGACACGCCCAGTGATTGGTGATTTTTCTAGTACGCAACTGCGCATGACAAATTGTAATAAAATTACTTTTAACACCACCTACTATGTGGCCTTTTTACCCTAAACTGATCATATTTTTTAAACTCTAAGTAAATTCAGTAAAAAAAAAAAAAAAGGATTTCTCTAAGTAAATAAAAGTAAATTAGGTAATCAACCCTCACTGGTCTCGGTCTCGACTCGGACTCGACCGTCTCTGGTCTCGGACTCGACTCTCTATGGACTCGGTCTTGACTCGACTCTCTCTGGTCTCGGTGTCGACTCGGACTCGAGTAGGGTGGTCTCGACTACAACACTGGTGTTTCGTCCGTTTTTATTTTATTTTTGAAATATTCATTTATCGGCCATTATACCTGCCGATACCGATAGTTTGGAAAATGCCTAATATCGGCCGATAATATCGATCTGCCGTTTTTTTAAAGAACTACATTTTTATTAAAAAACAATTAACTAATTTAAATACTTTTACATTAAGAAAATGTGTTATTTTTTAAATATTTGTTTAATTTTTTTTTTTTTTTGAAAAATATTCAGTATATTCCAGTTTAAATCATCTTTTTAATTGTTTGTTTGTGAAAAAATAACATGGATGCTGTGTGTTTTTAGGTTTGACTGCTGTTGGTGGCCTCTCCCTCATGGGTGGTGGATATCTCCCTGGCAGCACGGCTGAAACCCTGGCCGTACTGGCTGCTTTCATCTCCTCTGTCAACATCGCTGGTGAGTGCACTGAACACACGATACCATACCTACCAACACATCGCTTAAATGTCAGAGGCTGAAAGTCGAGTAAGATTACAGATACTAGCAGGTGAGGCCTCTGCACTGGCGGACTGCTGTCCTCTGGCTGCCCTGCATCTTGTGTTCGTGAGAAGAGTGGTGTATTCCATTCCTTCCAGGTGGAATAGTTTAGTCCTTCAAACCTCACACCTGAAACAGGAAATGTCAGCGCGGCAGTTTTGCTTCAAAGAGCCTCGGCCATGTCATAAATCAGGCTCTGCTCAAAAGCAACCAATAGTCTCATAAAGGAGGAAAAGGAAAAAATATCTTAAAGTGGGCAGGTGGCCAAAATGCCATCCTGAATCCAGTGACCCCTTCATCCTGAGACTTGGTATGGTGGGCCAAGACGCCAGTCCAGGTCAGAGGGTGTGTTAGTGATTTAATGGCATACTACTAGGCTTTTACAGACATTTTTCATCAGGCTACAATAACAACTTTTTGATATGTGTTCCAGCGCATTAAGTGTCTGAATTTATATATTTATCTTCTCAGAAGGCAGGTGTTTAATTTCAGTTGAAAAATGTTTTTTTTTTTTTTTTTTTTTTGTTATTTCCATTCCTCATACATGATGTTTCATCCCGCAGTCCCATTAACCATAAACTTTTGGAAGTTCGAAATGTGGACATTCTGGTCGCTTTTTCCTATCCCTTAGTTTTTTCGACCATTTTTATTGTTACAAGTGCATGCAGGGAAAAAATAACAATTGCCCTTTCCAATTTAATTTCAATAAAAGACAAGGAATTTATGGTGAACCTGCTCTATTAATGACAGGAATGAAAACATTTCGTTCTTTGGCCCCGGCTGTAATGTCTGGATATCCTTCACATTTAATTGTGGGAAAAAGGAACGTTCTTTCTAATGCTGTATATACATTGTGTTCAACCGTCTGAGTGCATTTACTTTTTAAATATTTTACCGGGATCCTCAGAGAAACGAGTCACTAAGGTTTGAGTGAAACTGGATATCTGTCTGAGTTTAAAATGAAAAGCTTTGGTTTGGTAATCATCCTAGTAAGTTGCTTTGCTAGGGCGGCGTAAGCCAGGAAAATGAATGTAAATGCAATCACGTGGCAGTTTAAAAATACTTCACTAATGAGCAGCAGATGAGTGACTACCGTCAGTCTTCGTGGCATCCTTCTGCAACTCAATTTATTTATTTTTTTGTGTGAAATTTTAAATTATTATTTTATATAATTTAATGTATTATATCAGGATGAAGTCAACAGATTGTGTACAGTGTTATATACTTTCGTACTATCTGTTTGTTATCAGGTGGTTTCTTGGTTACTCAGAGGATGCTGGACATGTTCAAGCGGCCAACTGATCCCCCAGAGTACAACTACTTGTATCTTCTTCCTGCTGGTTGTTTTGTTGGAGGTTATGGGATGGCTCTTCAAAGTGGCTACAATGTTGAACAGGTAAGACTGTATTGCTTGCACTTTTCTACATGGCAGATGATAGGATGAAAACTTCTGTGTTGAAGGCATTGTTGAAACTATTATACATAAATTGTTAGTTGAAAAAGTAAAGTAAAATGATTAGATGGAAAAACCTCAACTTAAACATTCTAGTTAGTTGGCAACATATTTTCGTCTAAGTACTAAAAAGTAAAACTAAAAAAGATGACAAAAGCACATAAGAAAACTGCTTAAACTTAAATGAAAATTTGATACTATAAAAATAAAAGCTAATTGAGTATATTTATAAATACTATAATAGAGTAGGGTACACATTCTAGTGACCAGCTTATCAAAGTTGCATAAAATGTTCAAACTATTAAAAATAATTTCAATTGAAATAAAGCTAAATTTAAAGGGGTCATATAATGGTACATGCATTTTTACAAGTTGACTTAAATGTGTGTTGGCAGTGCCTGTACACAACCATCATATAATAATTGTCAAGTAATACATTAGTGTTGTATTACAAACTTTTTATTCAAACCCTGAAGAATCATATTAACTTGTATAAAAATGGCATTATATGACCCCTTTAAATAAATGAAATTATTTTAAATTAAATGAAAACTTAAATTCAATTTAAAAGATTTAGAATTAAAGCTAAATAGAAATATCCTGAACAACATGCTTAATTTCCACTCAGAACACAATAGCAACTTCCTGTCCACCACATAAAACAACTTAATATAGTGAATATCTAGTTGTGATATAGTAATGCAAAAGAGAAATGGATTCTGGAGGATATGTATCCTCACTTCCTATGAACCTTCTTGTGTGCAGATGATGTATTTGGGCTCCGGCTTGTGCTGCGTGGGGGCTCTGGCGGGTCTGTCTAAACAATCCACAGCCCGTCTCGGTAACGCCCTGGGCATGATCGGAGTGGCCGGTGGCATTGCTGCTACTTTCGGAGTGTTGAAACCTTCCCCTGAGCTCATGGCTCAAATGAGTGCGGCCATGGCGGTGGGTGGCACTGCTGGTAAGTACGTGTGTGTGCTTGTGCCCCGTGTGCATTTCTTTAGTCGGCAGCCTTTGAACATAGTGTAAGTAAATTGGAAGTGGCCTTGTGAATTTTTTATTTTTTATTTTTTCCCCCGCGACCCCAGGTAATGGTCATCAGGTCATGTGAGTCACAC